CTTGTAGTGCCCTATTGGCCTTCACAATGTTGGTTTCCATTATTCTTGGAATTAATTATAGGTGAACCTTGATTGATAGGACCAGATGAAAATCTTTTGTCTTCCCCTTTCAGGAGAGTCCACCCACTCAACAAGTCCCTTATCCTGGCTGTAGGAAAATTTTAGAACAAGCATTCAAACTGAGAGATATGCCAGAGGAAAGCATCCCAACCATGCTGGAATCCTTAGCAGCAATAAACACAATAAAACAGTATAATGTGGTGTACAAATCCTGGTGGGATTATTGCACTAGACAAAACATTTCAGTTTTTTCTGCAGGAGTACCTGAGGTCATGAGTTTTCTACAGGCAAGACTAGATGAGAAAACATGTAATTATGGCACCTTTGGCAATTTCAGGTCAGCTCTTTCCCTCTTACTACCAGGTGAAATTGGAAAGAATCCACAGGTCAGCAGATTCATTAAAGGAATAGCTCGGCTTAGACCACCAAAACCTAGATATGATGTTGTATGGGACTCCCAGTGTGTACTGGATTACCTATCAAAGCGGAGACAGAATGGCGAGTTGACCCTAGCAGAGTTGAGCAATAAAGTAATAACTTTATTAGCTCTGACAACAGGGCACCGCCTCCAGACATTCTCTTTAATAAGAACTTTGAACGTCATTGTCCATGTATCTGGAATAAAAATTTTCATTCCTGATTGTATAAAAACAACAAGGGTGGCAGAGATCAACCATGCCTGCATTTGCCCTTTTTCCACGAAAATCCTTCAATTTGTGTTGCTACAGCAATTATCGAATACATAGAGAAAACCAAGGAAGTGCGGGAATCAGATCAAGAATTTCTATTTCTCACAACGAGACCACACCCTATCGAAGAGCAACAGGACAAACCTTAAGCAGATGGATAAGGGAAGTCCTAGACAGGGCTGGTATCAATACTCGCATGTTTTCAGGATACTCGACAAGACATGCTTCTACCTCTGCGGCGTTTAGGGCAGGGGTTCCACTGAAATTGATTCGAAAATCAGCTGGCTGGACAGAAAAGTCAGATGTGTTTTGCCGGTTTTATAATAGACCTTTGGAAGAGAACAGACATTCCTTTCCAGAGGCCGTCTTACGAGGGAATCAAAGCTCTCCTCAATAAGGAAGTTTCTTTTCTTTTTCCTTTGATGAGTTGTACTCACATAAATCAGTTTGATGTTTTTATGAAAGAGCAACAATAAAATGTTTTTGTAGTTTTGAAATTCTTGATTTCAGTTGGGAAAAAAAACAACACTGAACAACTACATAGTAAACAAAAGTGTTCTCTTCGAACGAAGCGCCGAAATACAATTGATCGATCAAACGAACTTGTGAAGTTCGATCGAGATTGTATGAGGCGCTTCGTTCGAAGAGAACACCCCCACCCAGATAGCTACCCTCCCAAGGAAATTCTTGTTTTTTCCATTTTTTTGGGTACTTTAAACTTAATGAAGAAGAAAGGCGATTTGACAGACTACAGTTGACAGAGGTGAGAGACATCTAGGGAGGAAGGAACCTATTTTATTTCAATAGGTTTCTTTTTATATTGTTAAATATCGTCTGTGTGATATTAGTCTATATTTTCGGAATTATTGTCGGGTTTGTCTGGTCATAAAATAACTTTTACAATTCCTCTTTTTGTTTATTTAACAACTGACTTTCGTCACTTACTGGTCCAGAACATCATATTAACATTGATATAAAATATATAGAGTGTCCAAATACAGGGTCACTAACAGGGCGTTACATATATACTGTGGGTTACCAAGTACTAGAGGGCAGTACTACATAGTAAACAAGTGTTCTCTTCGAACGAAGCGCCTAATACAATCTCGATCGAACTTCACAAGTTCGTTTGATCGATCAAAAATCATTCAAGATTTCAATAATAGGTATGTACAGGGTATTTACTTGTTGAGGAAGGTTATATGGCGAACGAGTTTTGTAATTATGATCCGATTCTATTCAAAATTGGAAGGTATGTGGGTTTTTTTTTCTGGGTTGGAGATGATGATTGTTTCGTCAAACTTGGAAAATTCAAGATGACGGATCCAATATATAGCAAACGAAATTTCTAATTATGATCTGATTCTATTCAAGATTGGTATCTGAGGGTTTTCGGGGTCGAACTTTATGATTTTTTGTCAAAATTGGGAAATTCAAGATAGCGGATCCAAAATATGGCGAACGAAACTTGTAGTTATGATCCGATTCTATTCAAAAAATCAAAATTGGTATCTGGGGATTTCCGGGGTCGGAGATTATAATTATTTCGTCAAAATTGGGATATTCAAGATGGCGGATCCAATATGGTGGATGAGTTTTGTAATGAATAAGATCCGATTCTATTCAAAATTGATATCTGGGGGTTTTCGGGGTAGGATATATAATGATTGTTTCGTCAAGAATTGAAACATTCAAGGATCCAATATGGGGAAAGACATTAGTTTATATAATTATTACTCTTCCACAATTAGAAAATATATAGAATGCAAGAGTGCCTATAAATTATACTGTGTATACTCAACGTATACCTACTTCTTTGTTACTTTCATCAATAAATTATTCGAAAATGACTGTCTATATTTTCCTGCACATTTTACGTATTAATTTTTATCAGCCTACTTTTCATCCTAGACGAAGTCTTTTACATATAGTGTGATTTCTCCGAGTTGGATTTCTGAAAATCCATTTAGCACACATGACATGAGTACAGTAGTCCAGATACCCACATCGAGGTTTTTACCATTTCTCAATCATAATAAGGCTCAGCTCATTCAGCTCATAGGTAAACTACTGTACAGTACAGAACAGTCTCTTTTGGTGAAATATATTGAGCTTTCAGTACAATTTATATGTTCCCTAAATCGCAAAGATTAGAGAGCTTGAAGTGTTGTCATGAACGTTAACGTAAACGTAGAAATTGACAGCTACGCATGCGCATTTTCCAATTCTTCACGTTTGCGTTGTTAGTGGGCTTACGGGTGTACGTTATCTCACGTTCCTTCACGTATACCTTAAATATTAACGTACGTTAACCAAACTATACTCGAAATATGCCGATGAGTCAAAATTATCAAATTCGAGATCACCAACGAGTTGTGCATCAAGGAGTCCTCTAATTTTGACAGGAATAAATGTTCGAATCTAAACACACAACCAAAAATGACCAATACAAACCGAAAACAAAATGTATTATTACGTTATGATAACAGTGACGACCAAAGTGGCGACTTCAACTCAATTTAACGACAATACGTAAACGTTATTTTTCGTACGTTAACGTCTACGTGGAGGTCTACGTACAGTGATTACTTCAACTCTCTATTATGCTGGAGTAGCAAACTCAAAAACTAGAGGATTGTTCAGCTATATCTTGGTATAGTTGAATCAGGAATTCCATATAGAAATTACGTATGATACGCCAAAGACCTCAATATAACCTAAAAAACAACGAATGTCAAAAATCTAGTGTTTATCCCATATACGTATTAATAATCAATACGGATAATCTCTATCTGTTTCCATAGCGAAACAAGCCGATTTTTGAGGACAAATGACTATCCATAAGGAAAAGTTTTGAAACGATCAGACACATACTGCTTTGATTGAAAGGCTAGTAAACGTCATTGTCCACCGAAACGCATGTCTTTGATGACTACTATAATAGCGCATGGCGCATGCGTATCATGCCACCAAATCCTTATGGATATTCATTTGTTTCATATTTTTGGCTTCATCCTGGCACCCGTTATGATCCGTATTGTTTATTAATACGTATATGGTTTATCCCCAGAATTGAATAAGGATGAAACTATATAACTGTTTCACAAACACTTTAGAGTGAGAGGAGACGAGGATCTGTCCGTACCCTGTTAAGATGACTTTAACGTCAATTTCCATCGTGTTTTTTACGCCATTCATTGATTCGAGCATGCCTTCGCATTGTGCTGTTGTACAATGCACAAAAAATGCAGCAAGACTAAAGAATATGATTTTTCAGGTAAATAGTAATCTCACATAGTTATCAATATGAAATGTTGTCATTCCTTATTAAAATTCCTTCTGCCTTCTGCCACTTCTGCAATACAAGCTATCCTCCCGATTGATTGCATGAATCCAATCTTCGGCATTATTTTAGAAATTTCAGGTGTATTTCTATAAGCTCCTATCGCAGAAGGAATTCCGATGAGAAATCAGAGAAATTACCAAATTTCAAAAATGAAAACTATATGTGAGTGACTGTAGGTACTTACTCTTAAATCATATTGTACCAACCGGATTACTTCGTCTTCCGCTGCAGTTTTTGTGCGTTTCACAACAGCATAATGTGATGGCATAAGCGAGTTGATGAATAGCGGAAAAATACGATTCGTATGCCAAAATAATTGTGAAAAACTATTTCCATCACTTGTAAATAAATAAGAAAAGTGACGTACTGTTTCAATGTTTTGCCTCCAGCGTCGGTTATCTGAATCTGACAGTTCTTGCACGCAACCCATAGAATATGAGTTTGAATATCTAGAAATGTCAATAAGTCATTACTGACATTTCATGTTATTGTCAGTGACAGGATGACAGTGACAGATGACAATTTATGTTGAAATTGAAGCGATTTAAGCGATGTTGAATAATGTTGATTCTTGACATTGTTGATTGTTGTGGATTGTTTTATAATTTATTGTTGATTGAATGACATTATAATATCATGATTGATGGTGGATGTTCCTAAAAAACCGTGTTTATTATTTCAGTTTCACTGCGTATTTTAGTGATTTGTTATTTTTGGAGACAAGTCTAGTCATTATCAGTGATTGAATATTTTGGTCACAAATTAACAATTTTCCTAGAATGGCTGCTTTATTGGAAGTGTCAACAAATAATTTGAGTGAAAACTATCTTCAATGAAGATAATTGTTATTCATGTAGGTTTTCCATGTGTTCAGTGACTAAGGAAATATTTTTTCAAAAATCAAAATGGGATCTTTCAATCATCGAACTGTTTTGTTCGTTTTCGGCTGTATGATTTTGTTGTGTCAAAACATTGTTGGTAAGTTAATTTTATGATAAACCTGATTATTCAGTTCGTTTTTTTTTTCATTTCTCATAGTGAATTCATGTCATAGCTGTTGTTGTAATGGTCACAAGTATTAAATCCTAAGAACATTGATAAGCTCCCTCATAAGTACTTCAAAGTACTTTTCATCAGTTTCATATCTGAACATTCATGAACTAGGCCTAGTCATTGCATAGATTAAACACAAGTTCAAGAATTCAATGCAATTCAGTGTCTTCAATAAATTCACTGTCATATTCAAAGAAATTATATTAGCTATTTGATAAAGAAATTGAATTAATTGAATTTTCAATGTTCTATAATTCCAAAAAAAAAAAGATAGAAATGAATACTTTCCATAGTATGACTCCACTTTTATGAAAAATGGTTTGTATTCAATCTTTGAATATTCATTAAATTTGTTAATATTCTATATTTTCAGAAGTGTCTTCTCTGAAATGTAAATGTGAAATATGCAAAGGAACAAATAACACATGTGAAACTCAAGGATACTGCTTCACAGCTGCTTTCTTCAAAGGAGGAGTCATTCAGTATAACTACAGGTATGTTATATGTACTGAGTTGTATCAGGAACAATTGAGTAATAGACCTGGTTTGAAAATCTATATAAATATTTGTAAAATATGTAATAATCATACACACTGGTTTTATGAACTTCAGGTAGCTAGTAAAGATCAGTTCTATTTATAAGGTCTTTCTAAGAGATGAAGTCAAACTTGTGGAGGTTATAGAGGATGTTATGGTCAAAAAATGTTTGCATATAAAACCCTAGTTGAAAATGAGTCATTTTGCTAAGGAGGAATTTTTGTTCAAAAACAATGATATATTGTTGATAGTGAGAGATTTGAGGAATATTGTGGGCCAATCCATTCATAGAATCTTGCATCCATTGTGACATAGGGATCTGGACAAAAGGACAGGTTTCCATCAACTCTTCCTGATAGTTATTCTTGTCTAGCTTATTATGAATCATTTTCTTGTGTTATTTCATCTTTTACTGTCAACAGGACAATTTCACATTTCTGCTTGAATTCCTGCATGGTCAGAACATCTCATTTTTGATTAGGTGTTTGAATAAAAGCTCATACAGGGTAATCATAAAAAATCTATGAACATTTCTTACATTTACACACCTATATATCAAAAGCAAGGGGTTTGTGGATATAATGATGTTTGAATAAACTATTTTTTAATTGCCTGACCATCATGATATTTCAAAATACACAACTTACATCCTGTATATTTGGAAAAATGTTGAGAAAAATGTCTTTGTTTCCTTGGTATATATTTGTTTCCAGTCTCCAGAATATGTCTACAATTCTTGTAACTAGTTTTTCTGTTGAAAAAATATTGAAGTCATTTGTTATGAGATGATAAAATTGACATATCAACTTTCTATTTCATCTATAGGTTCTACACAACAAAATATTCATGATATATTTCAATATATTCATTCCCAACCTGGTCATCAACAATTATTGACTAATAATATTGACTTAAATATCTTTAGCTTGCATGAATTAATCAATCACCTATCCAAAAAAATTGTGATTCAAAGACCTACCAAGTTCAAGAATTTAGTTCTTAGATGGCACATATACTGCCACAAAAGATTGCTAAGCAGTTGACAACTTTGAATGAATGTAAAAGAGTTGTGTCAAAAAGTGCCTGATAGCATTGAGTTTTGGTCATTTATGATTAGAAGACTAATCAAGTTGAATTGTTTTGTTGGCAGAATGTGAAGTGTTAATTGATTTGAGGTCATTAGATATTTTCAGTTAGTCTAGCAATGTCACCAATCTGAATGAGTATTAAATTCCATGTTAACATCAGGTTCTTGGCAGGGCAAGCAAGCAAACCAACAATCTCATCTGTCATTCTTCCACAAAAAAATCAGAAAATGATTCTAATTTCACACATCCTGATTTCAGTGTTGGTAACACTAACCTTTGGTTCACTCAGTAGTTACTTTGAAGGATCTAATTTGTTGACTCTGAATTACAGAGTGTATTGTGAGACAAAAATTATAATTAAATGTTCTATGCTTGTTTATCCAGACGATAAATGAATGTTCTCAAAAAACACAGTGAAATTTCAATCTGGTTTAGCTACAACAATTCAAAATATACCAATGGAGACAAAATCAGTAACTTTTAGTCCTGACAGATCCGTTTCTTATACAGGGTGTTTCAGAAACAGGTGGTCCTGTTGCTAGGAGTTGGATTTGCTCAGTAAAATGTTTTTGGCATCTGTTTTCAAGATAAATGGTGCTGAAAAAACAATTTGTATAAACATTTTTCATGATTATGTTGAAACTACTGGCAACATTGTAATGCAATTTTATATGAAAATATTCTGGAATATGAAACACATCATATGAATTCGTTTTTATATCTGACTCTCATGGAGGGAGCTAATTACATGGTCTGTACCAAGTAGTTTTTCACAAACATTTTTTGTGGTTTCATTTTCTAGTCCAAATTCTTTGTAAACTCGGCTTAGTCAGAAAAATGTCTGGCCGAATGTTTTATCAAGATAAATCGTTAGTCATTTATAAAAATAATATTTGGTGAGAAACAGTCAGTCATATAGTTATTAGGTAATAGGTTACTGGGTGAATATCATCAGAGATAAGGTGATTGGTTCATTAGGAGTTGTGTTGTTGTACATCTGGTCGAAATTGATGTTTTTGAAGATCCTTAACATATTTGTTGTTAGAATAATACCCATGAAACATGTATATAAAGACTGCAAGACCAGAACTACCTCGGTGACCTATTTATTCAATTATGCTGTTGAAGTTTCTCAAATTTGGAACATTGCGGATGAAAAAAAAATCAACTCAGTTTTTCCTGAAACCGAAAATCAATTTTTGACATTCAAATGGAACACCCTGTATAATATTATTATTGCAATTTTGAAAACTCCGTAACCATCTGAATTCAATGATAGGTATAATTATCATAATAGTCAGATCAACCTTCATCTAGAGAAAGTCATGAACTCCCTAAATTTATTCAATGCTACACTATGGCTATATATTATGAACAAAAGAGATATCTGGTTTCGAATTCGTGCCAAAAAGTACATATTAGTACTCTGAAGTAACTCCTTATTTAATGTATAACCAATACGAACACAATGTCAACTTTCAGGATTTAGGTAGATAAATACGAAAATTCCGGAAATTTGATAGGTATTTGAGAATCGGAAGTTGATGATGTCATTTCCATAGAAACCAGAATAAGTTGTTATTAGTCCAAGAGCAGGCTGCAAATTTCGACCGTTATCTGATAACGAAATGATATAAATGTCTCAAAGAAAAGGAGCAAATTGATTAGAAACTTGCACTTTCCTGTGGTGAAATTTGCACTCGATTTCGCAATTTGATAACTAGATAACAATTATGCCATCCGATACCAATCAAATGGTAGATTTCAAAAACTTACCTGTTTCAAAGTGATCTAAGCTAGTGGCAGAGCGTCAATACTTCCGACAATATTTCGCCCCCCTCTGAAGATAATATTCGATGAACCAGTGTAAAACGCAACATGAGGATAAGAATACTTGTAGTGTGCTGAGCACCACATGAGTTTCACACTGGTCCATCGGATATTATCTTTCGACGAGGGCGAAATATTCATGGAAATATTGACGCTCTGCAACTAACTTAGATCAGTTTGAATAGCGGCACGTTTGGATATTCGCAAAAGGGACATGTTTCCTTTCATTTGCTATTTGCTTAAACTCGTATGACCGGAATAATAGGAGCAAATGAATCGCTGAGCCATGGATTTAGCTCAGACTGAGTGGTGGCACAGGTAAGTTTTCGTGATCTACCTTCCAATTGATATCGGATGGCATAATTCTTATCTCGTTATCAAATCGCAAAATCGAGTACAAATTTCCGCACAGGAAAGTGCAATTTTTCAATCATTCTGCTCAGGATAGTGATTGGCACAGGTGCCGTTCTATAAACTACTATGTTTTTACTTGCCTTTGGGACATATATCATTTCTTTATCAGATGACTAATAAGTCGAAATTTGTTCAATACAAAAAAATTCAATTGTTTCCTTTTAAGAAATAACCGTAATTTGGAAACTCATTAACAATCCAAATCCCAATAGATGAATATCAATAATTACAATTGATGATATAAGTAAGCTCATTTTACTCATTGTGTATAAAATCGGCGAATGCTACCTATGTACTAAGTTCAGTAAACGAACACAAAATTGGGGAAACAAATCATGCATATAGTCGCAAAGTTTCGTAGAGTAGAGGTTTAGGGGAAAGTGCCATGAACAACATACCAAGAAGTCTGACCCATGGGAGATGAGGGGGTAGGGGAGCGTTTGAAGTCAATACCTCATGTTCTTGAATAATTCGAAAATTGCGGTAGTGTAGATATACAAAATTGAACAACATTCAATTAAGGTCATTATTCATCAACAATGAATAATTTCTTAGATACAGGGGATGAAAAAATCGAGAAGTAACAAAAATATAATTTAATATTCAACGTGAATAGGAGCAGAAAAAATACGTGACTCAAAAAACAAACTTCTTGAATGTGTAAATTTCAGAAATTAACGATTAATCAAAATATCAAGAGTACATTTTTTTCTAGTAAACAAGTTATGCAATCCTAATTTCAAATTCAAACGCCTTTCTTTTAATTGATGTAGAAGTTTTAGATGTTTTTTCACTGAAAGGATAAAGTTCTATGACCATGGAATGATTCATCATAATCATGAAAGGGTTTTATTGCCCAATAAAGCTTTGCCAATGTGCCAAATTGGAGTAAAATCTCATAAGCCGTTTCAAAGTTATGAATCAAAAACGTTTTGCAAGTTATAACTTCAGAGCCGTCTGGCGACTAAACTCAGCAACTTTTTACTCTTATCAATTTGGACTAATCTAATTGTTTAGGTTTGATGAATTTGTGTAGGTTTTTGTAAAGACCTTTCAGGGACATATTGCTAGTATAAAAGTGTTCTTTACTAACAATTATACGTTCTCCATTTTTGTGAAGTAAGAAATGTCAAGCAGTAAAAAAATAATAACTCATTGTGTTATCTGAAAATAAATGCAGTGTCCTATCTGCTTTGACACGTGCAGAGGTTAATATCGTACAAAAATGGGAAGAACTGTAGGCATAGAACAAGTATTAAACTTTTGCTTGTCAACGCGGTTCGTATGTAACTTTCTCCATTTTTTGTGTAATATTCTATTTTACTTATTTTGTGATAAAATATAACATATGAAGTATTGTCTTACAATGTTGGATTACCTACTATCAATCAAATTATTCTTTACTGATGAAATGCTATACTTACCTATTAGTTGTCTACACCCAGAGCAGTGTTTGCCACCTGAGGACCCAATATGCTGCCGCAGTGATCAGTCCTCTCTAAAATGCTGCAAAAATGTAGATTTCTGTAATGCCGATATTAAGTTCCAACATAGTCCCACAACTTTCAGTAATTTAACTAGTGCAGGTAACAGTGTGAACCCCTCAACCAGTTTTTTGCACTCAA